CCCTAAACCTCTAAATCCCTAAATCCCTAAATCCCTAAACCCCTAAACCCTAATATGATATGATACTGGACGAACGTATCTGATGGAGAAGTTCAGAAGGCAGCGCCTTTCGCACCTGCGTCTGCTAATGGAGGGGGGCCTCAATAGGTAAATCAGGACTTTGAAGTACATCAAAGTATGTATATATATATATACATGGAATTTGAAGTACATCAAAGCATAATCATATATGGAATTTCAAGTACATTAAACTATAGATCATATCGGGAATTTGAAGTACATTAAAATATAATCATATAGGGACTTTGACGTACGTTAAAATATGTATATTCATGTAGGGAAGAGAACTGGCAAGTTGTCCGAACCCTGTGTTAGGTGCGGTCCGAGGAGTTGCCTTGGTGCCATTGGCATCCACATGTGATTACGGTTAGTATAATAGGTTCAGGGTTTAGGGCTTAAGGTTTTATTTTGTAAGGTTTAGGGGTTTAGGGTTCAGAGTTTAAGGTTTAGGGTTTAGTATAGTAGAGCAGAGTCGAGACTCGAGACTATTGTCTACAGTAGTCTAGTCGAGTATAGTACAGCATAGTCAAGTCTAGCTTAGCATAGCGTCGTCCAGTTTAGTATAGTATAGTGTAGAAGAATAGCGACAGTATCATGTAGCACACTATCGTCTAGCATACCATACTATAGTACATTATGGCACAGCAATTGGAAGGATAGGATAGGATAGGAATAAGGATAGGACAGGACAGGACAGGACAGGACAGGAAAGGATGGATAGATAGATATGGATAGATGGAGGGATGGATGGAAAGATAGAAAGATAGAAAGAGAGATAGATAATTCGACAGGTAGATAGGTGGATAGACAGATAGATAGATAGGTAGATAGATAGATAGATAGATTAAACTAGATTAGATTAGACTAGATTGGATTAATTAGATTAGATAGATTAGATTAGACTAGATAGATAGGTCGATAGATCGGTAGGTTGGTAGATAGATCGATAGATAGTTTGACAGATAGATAGAGATAGAAATAGGTAGATATATAGATAGACATACAGACAGACAGCTAGATACACAGATAGACTAAGGCCATGCGACAACGTAGGGATGTGCTGAAGATTATCATTCCTGCAGCTGCGGTCTAAAGCCTTAAAGCCAACACGCGTGCTCAAGCAAACGCTTAGGAGTGCTGGAGTCACTGCTCGAACAGAGCTGCAAAATTCGCAAGGTCCTTGGGTGTCAGCGCTGGCCCCTTTTCCAACTCCACCATCTGGTTGACAGTGAGCTTCTTGCCACCCTCCTGCACGTGTGACAACTGGTTTAGGATGTTTGCCAGGATTTGTAAGGGGGCTTGCAAACGGCCTTATATGAAGATGTATACGGGATTCGCAAATGTTTTTCAAGGATGTGCTTGCCAGATACTGTATCTTCTACGTATCCGAACCATGGCGACTGAAGCTGCACACCTTGACAGGAACCCAGACGAGCCTGCATCGGAAAGCTAAGGATGAAGGGAGCTAGTATGAGGGTTTCTGGAAATTCAGGGTCCATAACCATTGGGTTTAGGTTTTTGGCTTGTCATAGGATCCCAAAATTGGTCAGGATCTACTTAGGATCCATATTCTCATGCATGGAGGGGTTTCGGTGAAGCTATACAGACGTTCAAGCAAGCCTATGGAATGGTTAGGCTGACTATTCAAGACCCTGCCTTAACCTTGCATAACCTACCTTTCGTGGCGTTCCTATATTTACTGAGACTTGAGAAAGGTTGAGGATCCGAGATTTGCGGAAGTGCAAAATGAAGTCGGTTGTGAAGCCCCTGCTCTTGGAGAAAGTCATCTAGGTTTGTGGCCTGGGGCTTAAGAGTTGCGAAGCCCTTTGCCCCGTGTTCTGCCGCCCAGGTTCACGGACCTCTGAGCCTCAAGCACCCACACAGTGCTAATTCCGCACGAAGCTCAATTCGGAACCCCATATTTCAAGAGTGCTTAATAACTGACACGGACGGAAAACGTTGTTTCCACAGTTTCCACAGATTAAATGCCTTTGGGCTTTCTGTGTAGGGTTCTGGGCTTAGCGGCTTAGCGGTCTCTGCAGCAGGCTCAATGTGGAAACCTAGGACCTGTTCTCGGAGTGGGTGTTCTACAGCAAAACACACCCTGTTTCCAAAGATCTGACAGAGGACACAGGAAGTATGGTAGGAAGCGTCACCAGCTTCCGTGCAGTCAGACGGTGTTTCTCATGCTGAATGCTCAGAAATAAGTCTGAGAAGAACTTAGGACACACTTGCCATTGCGCATTTTCTTCCGAGGTAGCGATACCTTCTTCATGCATCTTCGCTGATGCCAGAGTGAAAAGTCGGGAAGCTAATCGTGGGCTGTTTTGCGGGCCCCTCAACACTGTATCTCGCTTGCCCGCTTCAGAATGTACTGCTGGAAATCTCCAACAGCCGCAGACAATCCCCGTATCTGTGAAATCGGGAAGGATCGGCAACGCCACGGACTCTGGCAAGGTCCTGACAGGATTGATCACATTGACGATTGCAAGTGCCTTCCTGCTCGCTGCAATCCGTTTACTCCCCACAACAGAAGCAATGCCTGACCCGCTCTTGCAGGGCATGCCACAAACGTAATTTGTTCTCCCGTTTCAGACTGTACTATGCTTGAGACCATACTCAATCACGGCCTAGATGCTACGATTTCTCGATCTCCGGCTCCCACCAGCATCCTCCGTAGCCGCCCGGGCATTGTCGTGGACAGTCATACTCGCAATATCGCTGCAAGTCGTAGAACCCTTTTTCTCCTTTCTTGCCCCCTTTGTTTCCGCAGTAGCAGAACCACCAATTCTTGGCGGACGTCTCCCGCAAATCCACAGCTGCATTGGCGTTGGTCACATTGATCACCTGTCTTAACGACTTCCTTATGAATGCCTCATCCCGAACACGTGTACAGTATCTGCGCCGTCTTCTAAAAATCCCAGTAGTCAAAAAAATAAATTCGCTTCGCTGCAGAATGCACCAAATAAGAAACTCTTTCGAGCAGACCCGAAACCATCTACCCTAAGCCGTACATCCCAGAAGCCGAAATCCTCAGCCCCATGCATCCCAAACCCTGTTTGAGCACTTAAATACCTCAGGTACTCAAACCTCCGGTTTTCATGCATGCATCTGAACACTTTAAGCTCTATCCACATACACGTACGTGTCAAACCCAATAAAACTCCGGCGAAACAAAACTCCACAGAGTCCTTGGAGTTGCGTTGGTCTGGGGTTGGGGGCTGACAGCGCTTTGGCCAGAAGATCAAGACTAAGACATGTAAGGGAATCTGAGACAATCAAGGACCGCAAATGACAACCATGTAGGCCCGTAGAAAGACCCTGCATACAAGGACCAAGCCATTCAAAGGGATCCTAATTGTCTGCAGCCTCAGCGATTTCCTTGCTTAAGTCCCAAGCCTGACGGACAGCGGTGACAACGGTGCACAGGCCCATGAGCGCCCACGGAAACCTGAACATCCTGGGCCGAGGGCTGGGCGTTTTGCTTTCCTCAAGTAATAAGTATGCTGCACGAAAATTGAACAACATGATTAAGATCAGCCTGGGAGCAGCATGGCGCGGAAAGCGTTAATCTTGACAAACGACAGGCAGATTTTGAGCCACAAAGAAGCTTCTTGCGAATCATGCCATGGGAGAAGCAGTTGCCTGTTTCGGTGGAAACTCTCAACCCCAAACCCCAAACCCGACACTGCGAGCCCGATAAATCACCTCAACTGGATGATTCAACAGCAGCAGGTGCCTGCATTTCTGCCTTCAAGGCACGCAGCTCCCGCTTCTCCATGATCTCCTGACAAAATAGCTCAGCTTATTCAAGTCTAGGGTTGCTGCTCGGGTAGCATGTGACAGCTGCAGCAAGAGTTATGTAGTTTCTGCTGTCGCCACTGTGTCGCAGCTACTAGTCTCGTGGCTAAGTGCTTTCATGGGATTCCGTTGTAGCTGCAGCTACATGGCTGCATATATACATCTGGGTTCGGAATGATATCGGTCATAAGTCGTCGGATAGTGTCCTTGATTGGTATTCCTGCAGAGCCAACAGTATTGAAACATGGTGTTCTGAAGGCGTGTATTTGTCAGCACCAACAACCTTATGCATCTACAAATGCAGATCTCGACACCATTTTACACTCCTAACCCCCCAACGCCCCGAAATTTTCTCATCGCCTTAATCCGAAACCTTATGTAAATATCTGCACCGTCTACACCCCTAAACGCCTAAAACATCCCTAAACCATAATACCCTAAAGCCGGCCTCCTCCTCATCCAACTCCTCTTGCGTGTAGACCACGTCCTGCTTGCAGACTGCAGAGCCCCTTTCAGTATGAACCATCGAGTTTAAAGGATTTAACGAGATTCTTAAGGGCATTGTTAGGGCTTCTTAGGTTTGTTGTTTTTTTAGGGTTTTGAATGGGTTTGATGCGGTTTTGAGAGGGCACTGTATAGTTTCTTCTGGGGCTCTGTATGGGTACGACCGTATGGGGAGGATCGTCAAGGGGTTTAGGGGATGGGTGTGCGGGGCTTTGCGGTCTAGGGCTTCGGTCCAAGTTCACTTACAAACCCAAGTGTGCATATCCTGGGTTGCTGTACTACATTTGACGAGGCGCAGAATGGGAGCCGACAAGTAGATCCTGAATCCCAAGAGAGCAAAACCTGCTTAGTAGGGCAGCAGCATTGTCCGCGCCTGTAAGCATTATAAACCCCTAAACGCTGCAGGATGGAAAGGCCTATACCCAACAACCCAGACCCTACAGGACTAGAGTCTAGACCCGAGATTTCAAAAACCCAAAACCCCACTGGACTCGAAACGCACCCAAATCCCCAATCCGCAGGACTCAAGCCCTAAACGCGAAAGATCCAAAACCTAGAGGACTAAAGCCGAGACTCGAAATCGCAACGACCCAAAACCGTGCAGGACTGAAGCCCTGAACCACACATCGCAACAGCCTAAACTTCTTTTGAACTAAAGTTGCTAAACCCGAAATCCCTAAGACCCAAGCCCCAGAACCCACTCAAGTACCAGTAGGGCCACTGACCGCCTCGTTGGGATATTGGCGGCTCTTCTTGGGGGGAGGCTTTCGCCCAAAGAAGCTGCGGGGCTTCGGCACGTACCTCTGGCTTGCCACGGGCTGCTAAGACTCACAGATCGGGAAACTGTCAGATGTCTTTCTACCGTATGCTTGACGGCTGCTGATTGCAGGCTGGAGGCCGAAAGTCCTAAGATGCTTGGGGTGTGGATTCTATCTACAACTTGACCCTTCAGGGTACTCTACGTTCGCAGAACTCATTTTGGCTTCTGGCAAAACTGCGAGAGAAAAAAAAACTCACAGATCAGTTTTTGAAGGTACTGCAGCTGCAAAGGGGTTAGTTTCCAATACTTCCTGTTCATGTGCCTTCGGTCCCGAATCAAAATGATGCTCTCTGGGCGGGCTCGCCCGTGCATTGCAATCTAAGGATTCAAGGAACCGCGCTTTTTGCAACTTAAAGTATAGGAGCGTTTCAGAAAGGAAAGAACCTCCAACACAGACCCCAAGCATAGGATCTGCAAGCCCTGAACTCAACAGGGAGTCTTGCCACAAAGACCCCGGTACCCAGTACAAGCCCCCTACAAAACCATATAGAAGCCTCATTGGAACATTAGAAGTCCCCAAAGAACACTGTAAACAATTATTCCCGAACCTCCCCATATGCACTGTAATGCTCGAAATATCTGTCTGAATCAGCAAAGCTGAAAAAGGACAGATGCTTGCCAGTTCACGGTTCATGGGTAAGCTGGTACAGAAGGGTGCAGCTGGCTCAGTCTATGAAGTTGGAAACCACAACCGATGAGCAATACCTGCACCCATCATGATCATTAATTGTTTCCAACTTTTGGGGCTTACTGTACGGCACTTGCGGCTGCGCTACCTAACTTGAAACCCTGCTTACAGGTGCCTGGAACTTCCCAGCGAATGGCTTTGGGCTACGACCACCAGGACCATCACGTCCAGGACGACCACGACCATCAGAAGACTACGAGGAGACCGTGGGGAGCCCATCAGGACCAAGCCGCGTCAGGGTGACGGACAAAAGGCTTCCCCAAAGCACTGGCGGGATTCAGACATGTCGAGGCCAGGAGGTGTCCCACGCATTGGCATGTACCATGAATCCACCTTTCCGGAGGCCGGTGACCGACGGATTCTGTGGAAATAGTGGGACAAGCTATGCACCGGAAGCCGCGCATCCGCGAACTAACCAATCCTCTTATCCTCTTTCCCCGGCACATTTGCACTCCATAGTGTGTGTGTGTGTGTGTCCGTACCACACTGTTTGGATTCTAATGTAAAGCAGGACCCCAGTCAAACTACTGAGGCCCTCTATATCATCTATTCATCTAGACTTTGGCGTGTCTGGTTGTGTCGTCGCAGTAGCAGTGGCAGCAGTAGTAGTAGTAGTAGTCGTCGTAGTCGTAGTAGTAGCAGCAGCAGTTGCACTAGTCAAAAACTGCCAGTAGCAAAAGGCCACCACAAATGGTGAATGTGCGTCATTGGTCGATGTTTCTCTCGCGCTGCGGTCAACAGCAAAGCTCACACAACTGCATGCATTGAGTGAATGTTGACATAGGCGACAGTAGTTCAGGTTGCCAAGTGAAGCTTCAAAAACAACCCGTGCACGTAATTACTTCTGACTGGCCATGCATTTCTTCCATCGGGTCCGCATGTCCATGAAACCCAAGTGCCGGGATTCGAATCAAAAAGCATAGACCCTACCTGCAGCCCGAAAGCGCACTTTTCGAAGGTTAGAAGTACAAATCAAGGAAAAACCCAAAACATCCCCAAACTAACTTATTCTGTCATAGTTGTCACAAGCAGTGTAATCATGTATCATCAACGTCATCAACCTCTTCCTCTGCTCCACCGCGCAGACAACCAATATGGGTTTTTTTGACAGGAACTCCAACAAGCCAAGCTCGAACAAACGAAGATCCTACAAATGAGCTGACTGACCACGAATTGTACTATAGCGAGCGAAAAGACAGCACACCATGACGAGGAGGCACTTGTCGCGGTAGTCCCAAAACACTTCCGGCAGCTCGTTCTGCCGGGGGCTTCAAGCTGCTACACGAGCACGGCTAAAGACCTCTTTTCTGCATATACTTCATGCCACCTGAGGCATGCTTTCATGACATGTATTGAGGTCTTATATGTAGGAGATTCTCCTTTAACAGTATGTTCACCAAGTTCGTTTCGCTGAAAATTTGAAACAACCTGGAGTTCGTTTCGCTGAAAATTTGAAACAACCTGGAAAAAGATCATGTAGCAATCCCCTACACTCCAAACCTCTTGCCTTCAGCGCATACATGGCATCCTCGCGCTGCTCCGTGGCTATGAGGCCAAGCAGCATCGTGCCAAACTGCGGATCACACAGCTAGGCAAGAGACTTTGCAGCAAAGGCCTAAGCTTCAGGTATAGTAGGGGTGTAGGTTTCATTGTGCTAAACTTAAGGTTTGGGGCTTCGGGCTTTGTGGAGATCCGCCTGCGCACACTGCCAGGGTTGGGCTGAGGAGGTCGACGGTTCTTCCACTGTAACCTACTCCTGAGTCCAATGTTATATGGCCAAAGTCGCTTGTCTCGGAGCTTCAAATCCAATGTTCCTGGATCGAAGCTCTAGTATGGAGTCCATACTCGTCCCAGCTGCACCACCAAGTAACAATTGGAGGACACGCTACGTGTTCGACCTACTGTGCATGTCCCCGCTATGGATGCACACGTGTACTTGCTCACTTGTTTGCGTGATGTGCATACATACATGTGTATGTACATATAAATATGTCTTATATGCGCGAATGTATGTATTGTGTGTATATATATACA